GGGTCACAGGTTCTATACCGTACAACCACCTGTCATGCCCCCGCCGGGACCCATGCCGCTCTCTGACAGGAGCGGACCCAGAGGGCGCGCATCATTGCGGTGGCATTCCCACACACTAAGGGGAATGCCACCGATCTCCTACCTGTTAGGTCTTCGCCCACCGGGTCCGCTCATACCCGGCGGGCGCGTCTCAGTCTGGCGGCATTCCCATATGGTGAATGCCGCCAATCACTCATCCATAGTGGTGGCTCCTCCTCTCAGCGGCCGGTCTGTAATCATTAAAGATGCTGGCCGCTGCAACTGTATTATATTTAAGGGTTTCCAGTTTAACCCTTAAAAGGCCAAACCGTTAATTATCACATGGGTGTGTTACACACACACCAATGATCACGTTTCCCTACAGCCTCTCAGGGAACATCTTAAGCTATTTAAGCCTACTTTGTCCATGTCTCTGTGCCCTGTCATGGTTTCCATATTGGTTATCCGAGAGCGCTTTCCTTGTATTGATTCCGATGTATTTAACCTTGGCTTTCCTTCTGACTATCCGATATCTACATTCCTTGACCCGTGGCTTGTTCATCGTTTGCGTTATTCTTACGTCATGTCTTTACCCTGTCTTTTTACCTTTATAAGTTAGATCTGGCCATTCTACGGCCTGGTAATACGTCTTAAGTATTTTCCTATTATCTACTTAAGTTCTGCGTGTTGGGCATCTACATCTATCACCATGGTAAATAAAATAAAAATATATGAGTCAGATAAATGTGCATATAATGTCTATTCATCAGTTCAACTATTAAATTTTTTTTCCTAATTTTAATAACTAAAACAACAACTATGTCACTGAGGTTGTATTGGAAGTAAAAATAAAATACTGTAGAATCAGATCTATTTTTTTCTTTAAATATTTTTATTTTATTTTACTAGCAGCCTCCTAACGTTGTTTTTTAGTTATGCTGAACTGGTGGCTCAGTCTTTTTATAGGAGTGGCAGCTGCATTATATAATTATAAAGATAAATTCTTTTCACATACCTTGTATATAATTGACTTCCTACTGTCCCCTCGTAAGCTGTTTTTGCCCTTTCTTATTTATCATACCCTTTTGATATGTGTGTAATTTTTCCCCCTTGAAGCTGCCACTCCTATGTTAAATGTGGAAGAAATTTCACATACGGAAGATAGGCTTAATTGATTAACAATCTTTGTTCAGCAAGTGAAAGAATGCTTAATAGACACAAGTCTTTACCAACTTACATTATGTACATGAAGATGCAGAAAAATGTCACTGTGTAACTGAACATGCTTAGAACATCCAAATATGGATTTACAGTTTCTTGAACCTCATTCATGATCCCAACTGCCACATCCTTCATACTCTTACTGGCGTTAATCGGCAAGTCAAACTTGTGTACCACTGTGATGTTAAAGTCAAACGTGTCCTTTAACTTACGGAGCATGTTAATAATGGCTGTGGACAAGAAGCATGAGTAGGTGAGAAAACTAGTTTGTTGGGGGATGGAAACATGTTGTAAGGGTTTTAGTGCAATATTCTTGTTCTGTAGATAGAGGTAAAATAGGATGAGAGAGCAGTGGTGTACAGCAGGCAAGAGAAAGACATTGATAAGTAAAAAGTGTATATTAACCAAATGGCAGATATGTTCCCTCAAACACAATTTCCCTGGATGCTTTATTGGGTTTCCTGACAAGATCTCAAGTAATGTTTTTTTGGAAATATTTCTTTTGTGGTGCAGTACATATCCTTTCTGTGCAAATTAGAGGAACTTCTCACCTGGCTGGATAAGGTTGAAGGCCTCTCTTATAGAGAGATGGATAAGAGTATAATGTCCCTGTCTTGCTCTCATCACAACCAGGCAGACCTCAAACATTGTTTATTTGGAAACACCACTTTTGTGGTGGTATTACATATCCTTTCTGTGTAGGTTAAAGTAATGAACCTCTCACCTGGCCAGATATAGTAGAAGACCTCTCATAAAGAGATTGAGCAGAGAGATATCCCTGTGCAGCTTAAATAAGTAATTAAAATATATATATATTTATTTGTCTTGGGGGAGTGGAGCAATTGTGCTTCCGCATGCCTTGTGGTGGAAGACTGGAGTGAGTGAGGGGGAGAGATACTGAGACTGACCACTGACAGATTTTCGTAAAGATTATGGGGAGTCCACGATAAAGCACCCATCAAGAGATTGTAGAGGAGGGCTCTTATATTAAATGGACACTATAGACACCCAGACCACTTCAGCTCCTTTAAGGTTACTGTCCAGCAACCTTAACTCTGCAAAGCTAATTATTGCAGTTTTTTTTTATAAACTGAAATAATTAGCTGTAGGGGGTAAGCCCACCACTAGAGGGACTTCTGGACTTTTGGTCACCTAACTAACGCTGAAAGTCCTCACACTATGCATGAGGTCATCCAACATCACTGGAATCCCCACATTGTATAATGCTTTTTAATGAGGAAATCCTAATACGAGTTTTGCCATTGGTGCGCATGCGCATTAGGTCTCCTGTGCTGGTCAATGTCAGCGGGGAAGGAGCAGAGGCAGATCCGAGCCAGTGCCGTAGGAAGTAACAGAAGGTGTTTGTAGCAGAGTGCTAGTTCCACATAGACTTTCTCCGCTGATAATCCAAGAATAGCTCAGGAACAAGTAGTTAACATAGCAAGAACAGCATAAGCAGCAAATAAAACAATACAAGAATATCCCATCACGTTTCCCAATAACTGGATGACACACAGTATTAGGAGCAGAACTGATGTTTAATGCCACATTCCCTGCTTTTATGCATCTCTCCCATGCAAGGGAGACACCCACAGAAAAATGTACATTAACCAATCACATATAGGTTACAGCCCACACATCTCCTCCCCTCAGCCTGAGAGATAATACAATTAACAGAACAGTTTTAACACACAATTTTCCTCGTGTTCCAGATGTACCCCAAAGACATGATATACACCCCTAAATGATACAATCCCTGATAGCCCTGATCTGGGTGAGCAACATACTCAAAAATCACCCAGATCAGATCAGGGGTTTGGGAATTTCCTAGAAGTGTTTGTTTGACCGACCACACACGAGGCAATAGCCGAAAACAGTTCCATGTATTCTGGCCTTGCGGTCGGTCTTTGTTTGTAGGGTAAAAGACATGAAAATACATGTCAGAAAAGACTTTGCCTGGATTTGTATGAATCCCCTTGTTCGTGGGCATATTTCTACCGAACGTCGGCCGTTCGTGTGTTTCTTCACGAACAGGTGGAGGTCTGGAGGTCTCTGCAGTGTTCACATGGTCGAGTGTCCGATTTGGGCTCCAGACACTCGACGACCAAACACCTCTGGGTTTTCGTATGGCAAGATGGCCACCGCCACGTGTTTGTATGTCAAACGGCGCCCACCCAGGGAATACACAGTACATTCACATATTTTGCAATTAGGCTTATGTGAAGAACGATGGGGAGGTAAATTAGAGCCACACTTCTCTCCGAGGTGGTCTGGTTGTTTGGTCGTTTGTTCGTATGTCGAACGGAGGTATTCAACTTTGTATCTAGTATGTTTCTACCTAACAACCAGACGAATGCTTAGGAAATACATTGTGTAGAATACTGCATACTCTATATGTTCCTATTCAAATTAATATTAAGGTGTGGCTGTCTAATGGGTTAAACAGAACAGATGGCATTTGCTATTCTGTACCATGAGGTCTCTGGAATTTGCTGTATAGGAGATTTGGGGTGGTCTTTATATGGGGAATTTCCTTATATGGCCAGAGTCTAAACTAAACGTTATGATGTAATTTGGGCTATATAGGGCAGAGGACAAAGGACCATGCTCTCTTCCTTCTACGATCCGTTTTGCTCTCCTCTCTGATGTCCTGAGTTGCTGATACAAAGACAGAATAATACTTATTCAACTAAATAAACACACAGCCAATGTAACGGCACCCTCAGCATAAAAGGGTTAAATCGCCGTTTAGTAGATCTTCCCCTTCCAGAGACACAGGCACAGCTACTGCAGAACACCAATCCGCCGAACAGGAAACCATATGAATGCCGTAAACAGCCGAATAGGAAAAACCATCCGAATAGGTTTACACTCCTAGCAGTCGAACTGGAACAGCATACAATAAATCCCCCCAAGAACCCGACAAAGCTCCGTGTTGAGGGTCAAGCAGTGAACAGTCAGAGCTGTGGTTTTATTGTGCTTATGTACACATTCTTACACATTAGTACCACCCACAGGGTTTTGTAACACAACCAATAAAAACATACAATACACTCAGACACTCCCACACAAATTCCTCCCCTCTGCCTGTGATTCAATTACCTTACACAATGGGTAATGTAATTAGCACAAGCAGAGAAATACAATTTTTCCACATTATTCATAACTTGAAAAGTATGCATCACATTCACATAAAATTTACATTACTTAATTCAAAAGATAGATCGTAGTCCTTTGTGACCAAAGGAAGCATGGCTTTTCTGCCCAAAACCAGTTCCACAGAGTCTTCTATCCTGGAGATAATTGGGAAGTAATCCAATTATCTCCAAGCACAGAGGCAAAACTCCATTGAACACATGGCAGCAAAAGACAATAAAATACATAAAAACATATAACTGTGCAGCCATTGCACAAAACAGGTACATTCAACATATCCCCAGATAGCTCAGATCTGAGCGCACATTATTACTGAATGGCGCTCAGAGCACACACATACAGTTCAATTGCCATGGAGCCAAAGTCTTTCCCATAGTCTTTCATTATACAAATAGGCTCCATGGCATAGCTATCTGGAGTATCACTGCTCAAACAGGGCAAGCACCAAATGACCCGGCTTTCATGTCTTTGCAGGGGAAAATCAAGCCTTTTAACATGGGGCCATAATTCAAAGGCAACAGGCGAACAACCAGGCTTCTCCAATGCAATGTGGCGAGATTGGTCTCGTCACAGCCAGTTATTACATTGACGAGCCAGCTAGACTGTTTTTCTGGCATTCCACACTTCCATTAAGGGGGGGAATTGAGCAGAGGAAGTGAGAGAGAGGACGGATTGAATTACTCTTTGTGTTGAATAGAAGTGTGTGCAGCCAGAAGCAGAGAAAAAAGAACCGTGTTAAAAGCGGTGTGTGTTTATCAGAAGACAAAGATTTTCAAATCACAAAGACTGTTCCAAGATTATATTCTACAACAGACAAAAGCACGTGTTATACAGAAAGCAGCACAAGATACAACGTGAAGTCTAGAAGCAAGCACATGGCAGAGATTGGCAAGCGTCCAGAATCAAGCCCAGAACTGCGCAGCTGTAAGACTAAAAGCAGACGGTGTCGTTCAGTAAAGATCAACTTGTCTGGTAAGTAATAATGGATTTTGTTACTGATATTGCAGAGAAAAGTAAACTTGATTTTGTGTTTAATAGATGCTATACAGATAGTCAATTGTGGGCTTTGTATGAGCAATGTAAACAAGCAAATTCAGCTATTGATAATAAACTGTTATGTTTAAATAAAACAAAAAGGAAAATTAGAAATGTTTTAAAATTGGTAGAAACCTTTGACACAATGATCATTAGAACAGGAGTGGATCCAACAAAATTGCAAGTACCAGCACAAGTAAAGGTGCAAGATTTAAAAAGTACACAGACATTAAAGAGAAATCTGTACTAACTGTGATAGACTCCAGGCAAGTATTTGTGATTTGGGAGAACAGCTGGATCTTAAATCTGAATTAATTTGTAAACTTAGAACTGAAGCCAAACAGTTGTGTGTGATTACAAGGACTGATCATAATTTGATACCAGAGCCAGTTGATGTCACAGAAATATCATCCCAGTCTGATTTGCAACGTAGAAAATTGTTAGATAAGGCTGCAAAACTTAAATTAAAAATTCAAGAGCAGCTGATGAAGGTTACCAAAGATATTCCCCCATATAATCCATCAATGGATGCCTTTGGTAATGCAAACGTATTTGAGTCTAATTTATCTAAACATAATTTGAATGACGAACAAAGGAACAGATTGTTTCAAAAATGGCTGCCAACATACATTGCACGTAGACTCCACCCATAAGTACCCCTAATGACGAAGATGGTAAAATAGTCCATGGGAAGGAGAGAGATAGATTGACACAATTAATAAGATTAACAGGAAATGAGCATGTGGATATTGAGATTTTAGAAAAATTAAAACCGAATATAAATGAAGATGTCTTCAGTTTCCTTTTAAAATTTGAGCGTGCATACAGATTGGTAATGAGTATTCCTGATGATCAGACACCAAAATCTATGGTAAATGCATTTGTAAAAAAAATTAAATATCTTGATCCAATATCAATTGCACGCGCTCTCCAGTGTCAAAATATTGAAGAAGCTGTGTCATTTCTAGATAGGGTTAGGAGAGAATCCAGACAACAAACGGTTAAAAAAAAATCTGTCTGTGCAGTTAGGAGAGAAAGGGGAGAGGACAAACCCAGATACAGGAAGTCCCCACCTCCCTCGCCTTCTGCAGCTTTATTTTTTTTTTTACTGTATAATTTTTTATTGTTAATGTTTTATGCATATATATATATATATATATAAATAATACTGGGATACAAAAGAGAAGTGGGAAAAAGGGAACAGTACATAATTTAGTCTATAATTACACACTATTAAAAACAATATTATTCACATAACAATATGCGTTAATTCATGTAAGAATTGATTACAACAATATTCTTCAATTTCTTTTCCTTTCTCTATTTTTTTTTTTTTAAATCAGTATTCATTTGCTTAAAGTTAAGAGAAACCACTGAAAGCTATCACTTCCTCTCGGTCCAAATCAAAAGAGTAATCTACGTTCTTAGAAAGGATTGTATCAGGGAGGGGTGGGGAATGGGGGATAGAACAGCCTATTGAGCTAAATCTCTTTTGAGTCTAGCTCTCATTTTAGTCTTTAAACATTATGAAAAGCATAAAGGGGAGAAAAATATAATAACACCTTAAACATATCTCTCTCTTATTTCTAACCATTAATTCCACATTTTTTTGTATAAAATTTCCTGTCCTTTCAAACGACCAGTCATCATTTCATAAGTACATGAGGAGTCTAGTCTTATCATTATCTCTGACAATAAAGGAATCTGTATTTTTTCCAGCTGTATGCAATAGCCGTTTTAGTTACTATCAAACTGTGAATAATAATATAAATAACCTCTTCTGGGAGCGGTATAAAAAACATATGTAATAAAAAAAACATTCGGGTTGGGTAGGTATCACTGCTTATATATATATATATATATATATATATATATATATATATATATATATATATATATATATATATATATATATATATATATATATATATATATATAGAGTGCCCTCCTGTTTGAGGCAGTGCCAACATAAATTTGATGCCCCTGCGTATATATGAGCTATCCTAGTTGGCACCAGGTACCAACACATTCAATTTACAATATGATTCCCAGTGTTGTAAATTACATGATGCCTTTTTGGTTAGCTTTATTGCCTGATGCCATTTGGATAAAGAAAATTGATAACCTAAATCTAACTCCCATTTCTGCATATATATAGGTTTTGCTTCATTCCCTATATTCATAATGTTATTATAAGATAATGATAAAGTTTTAATAATCAGTAATTTACCCATACATTTGTATATCAAAGGCGGAAGTGTTTTCATTTCTTCTATTTTTACATTAAATCCATGAAGTATATTCCTAATGCGTAAGTAGGAAAACAACTCTCTCTGAGGTATGGAATACTCTTTAAGTATTTCAGGGAATTGCTTAATGCCTATAGTATTATAAAAAAAAACGAACCTGTGTGACACCATGATTTAACGAGGTGTCCACTCGTAAGTCTGATGTGAAGGCAGTAATAATCTGTAGCGGGGTTGCATATAGCAAAACCTTATCATCTACAATTTTGGGGATAATTTGTTTCCAAATTTGAAGTAGTGTTTTGGTAACTGGTAGCATATCATTTTTTTTCCCTATTTTTATTTTACCTGTCCACAAGGCTTGTGGTAATGTGCCTTGATGCATGCAAGCGTTTTCTAATGCTAACCACAAAGGGGAAGGTATTTGTTCTAATACTGATATGCCTTGTGCTAATATTGAGGCTTTATAATACATTTTAACATTCGGAATACCAAGGCCACCTTTCTCATATGGAAGCCACAATAAGTTCTGCTTTACTCGGGGTGGTTTCCTTTTCCAAATGTGTGCATTTATTACAATTTGAAATTTACTTAATATTGTGTTCGGTATAGCAATTGGGAGATTACGGAAGAGGTACAACATATGTGGTAAAACCATCATTTTTATAGTGTTTATTCGGCCCAGCCAAGATATGCTTTTGGCTTCCCATTTTCACAATTGTTGCTCTAATTTAATTATAAGTGGTATATGATTCTCTTTTATAATTAAATTATGTGCGGAAGGAAGTTTAATTCCTAAGTATGTTATTGACTTTTTCCGCCAGTCAAAGGGATGTATATTTTGTAACGCGTGTACCACAGATGTGGGAAGACCAATAGACAATGCTTGAGATTTTGGGGGGTTATTTTTATAGTATGATATCTCTCCAAATCTTTGTAGTGTCTTTAATAAAATTGGAATTGATAAATCTGGATTAGTTAAAAAAAAAGCAAAACATCATCCGCATAAAGAACTATTTTTGAGACACCCGCAGGGGTATTTAGTCCCTGTATCCCTTTATGGTTTTTAACATGTCTTATTAAGGACTCCATACACAAAATAAAGATTAATGGTGAAAGAGGGCATCCCTGTCTGGAGCCATTAGTAATATAAAACACAGGAAAGAAAACCAGAATTGCTTATTTTCGCTGCTGGTCGAGAGTAAAGAACTAAAATACTTTGAAGAAATGCTAAAGGGAAACCCATGCTCAAAAATACTTCTTCCATGTATTGCCAATTCAAGCGGTCGAACACTTTTTCAGTGTCGAGTGCCAGCAATAACCCCTGTTGGTTACTAAGATGTGCCCAAGTAATTAAATTTTAAACAGTGGCGTGTGTTGTCTCCTGGTTGTCTATTAGTGACGAATCCTGCTTGTTCTGGTGAAACCAGATCCACTATTAATATTAGGCGTGCTGCCAGTAATTTAGCATATAATTTTATATCTGAGTTTAATAATGAGATGGGTCTTAAATTTGCACATAGTGTTGGTGATTTACCTGGTTTTGGTATCGTAATTATATGGGCTACTAACAGCTCTTCGGGTATTGTACCTGAATTTTTAAAATAATTGAAAAGTTTGGTAAGGTGCGGGACCAGTTGGGCCTCAGAAGCAATATAATAATTATTTGGAAACCCATCTGGGCCCGGTGCCTTATGGTTAGGAAGTTTTCAAATTGCTTCTCTAACCTCCTCTTCTGAGAATTGTGCATTCAGGGATAAACCTTGCTCTGGCGTAATGCACGGGAGATTTACTTCTTTCAGATAATTTTGTATTTCTACTCTAGAGGGTTGATATGTGTAAGTTGTATAGCTTAGAATAAAAAAAACGCTAACTCCTCGACTATATCCTGACGGTTATATCATTTATTTATTTATTTTTTCAATTTGACAATTTTTATTTTCACAGATAATGAAAACCATGAGGGGATACAGAAGAGAAGGGGGTGTATGGGAACATAATTCTTTTGTACATTAGAATTAAAAGTTTGACATTCAACAATTTGTCTGTGACAAAGTTCCAGTTAGTTGCAATTCAATTGCCTAAAATATGCACTTCTATTATTTACATTTCCACAGTATGCGATAGGTAAATCACGCTTATATCACCCTTCCTCCTCATCCCTCTCGTAATTATGTAGGAGTCAACCACCAACCGTAAAACTTAAACTTTATCTACTAGAGCCCCCGCCGTGAGATGGGGGTAATGTGGAGGGTTTAGGGGGGAGGGGGGTTTCTCTCTATCTTGTTTTGTTAGTTAGACTGTGACGGGTGTCCTAACTGAGGCGTTCGGGTTTCCCTGTAGCTGAATTCGGCTCCATTTGTTATATACTCTCAAAGCCATTCCAGCCTCACACTTCACAGAGGGCGCTCCCGCAGGACTGTGTGTCATATCCTTCTCTATATCCCTCTCTAAACTGTTCCCACCCCAACCAGGTGAGCAATTTTTGTTTTCTCCTCCCTTCGGATTCTGCATATGTCAATTCGGATATAGCAGCAGTAAGTTTAGGGGTTTGTTTGGGATGGCAATTTTCGCAATGTTTCCCACCATAACGTGTATCTTAGTCCACAGTGGCCGAAGGATTAAGCAAGTCCACCATATGTGGAACATCGTGCCCTTTTGTTTCTGACATCTCCAGCATATAGTGGAGCTACCTGGAAGATGCGTGCTGGTCTGGCCGGGACCATATACCACCTCAATAAAAATTTTCTGTGTAGTTCTATATGTGCTGCGCAGTTTGTGACCCGTTTCAAAGCCCTCAGGATCACCGCCCACTGTGTGTCTGAAATGGTCTCCCCACAATCCCTAGTCCACTCCATTGCATATTTACATTTACCAAAGGGTTGGTTTTGATTTAGTGCCTGATAGCATGTGGATAATTGGGTTGGGATGATCCCCACACGTCTTCTCGAATTGAGACATGGTTTTGCCCAGGCCTTTTTGTTGTCCGTCATCGAATTTGAGATTCCCGTTTCCGTTTTAAGTAAGTCGTTCTCTTTATAAAAATGCCCCTAATCACCTCCTTATGGGCCAGCCATAGTGTTTCCAGGGATGTCTCCCCATTGTTGTTCCTAGTGAAATATTCTTTCAGTTCTACCCGTACGCTTTTGATAAAGTCTAGATCATGGAGTAGGGATTTGTTGAGCCTCCAGAACCCCTTCCCTGTGTGTGTGTGGGCATCTTTAATGTATAAAAAGACTGGTGCATGATCAGACCATGTTATTTGTCCTATCACACAATTCTCTATTTGGATCTGTGGGTGATGTGTAGAAGCAGTTGAGTCTCGTGTGAGAGCTATGGACCGCTGAGTGGAACGTATAATCTTTCTCATGGTCGTGTAGAGTGCGCTACACATCGAGCAGGTTATGGAAATGAAGACGGGTGTAACGGCTACCAAGCTGGAGAGGGGTACCTGCCGTTGGAGACGTCCTTTTCTAGGCAAGCTGCTGTGAAGTAATGGAGTTCTTATTCCCATCCACGATATCCAAGTGTATAATCCAGGAGTGGTGTAAAATGAGGCAGAGTAACGATACCATAAATCCCCTCCAAGAACGAGACGAGGCTACGTTTTGAAGGGTCAAGTAGAACTGATGTTTATTGCAATATTGCCCTCTGAAAGGCTACACCCACATAATTATCACAACAGCCAATTACATACATGGTTCAACCCCCACGTCTCCTCCCCTCAGATGACATATAACACAATTAAAACAGACACAATTTTAACTACATTCTGGATGTACCCCAAAAACAGGGGGTACACCTTTAAGTCCAGCACCGCTCTCACTCAGGGGAACAATATATCCAAATTTCAGTCCATTCGGTTGAGGGGTTCGGGACTTATGGATCTTTGAAGTTTTGACCGACCGCACAGGTTTTCTAGCCGAAAAGAGTTCCATAAGTTTTGGCCTTGCGGTCGGTCTCCGTTCGTGCATAAAAACCCCACGAACCCCTTGCCATCCACAGTAATCTTGGTGTTCGCCTGAATCCCCATGAATGCTTAAACAAAACTACCGAACGGCCGGTCGTTCGGAAGTTCCAGCACGAACTTACGAGCTCCTGGAGGTCTCAGCGGTGTTCGCCTGTTTGCGTATCCGTTTTTAGTTCCATGCGTTCACAGGCAAACACCGCCGTTCGTGCGTAAGATGGCCGCGAACACGTGTAAAGTCCCGAAATGGCGGCCATCTAACCTGAGCACAAAGGGATTCGTCTGAACCATGCAAACGGCTCCACGATCACTGGGAGGTAAAATAGCAATTAACTGTTCCCCTGGGTGGTCTGATGTTCGGTATTTTGGGCTGTATGTTACAGTAGCAATATTCACACGAAAACCAGCCATTCGGTTTCTGTTTAACACATCCAGCAGCATTGTTAATTAAGTCCAGGCAAAAGTATAGGCATAATCATAGTTCTGTTACAACGGGATCTTAAAGAATTGCAGGAACCCTGCAACGCCCTCAATCTTATGTTTGTAAGCTTGGCTGATGAGTCCAAGGCTGGTTCTGTTATAAAGTTTAAATCCCCACACAACACCCTGTTTGATCTTATCTATCTTATTACACAGCATTTCTAAGAACTGGGCTTGGTTTGAATTTGGGAAGTAGGCATTCGTTATAGTGTATGTTATTTCGTTCACAATACAAACGATGATCAAATATCTGCCTGTAGGGTCAGAAAATGTGCGCAATAGGGTGAATGCTAAGTTGTCATTTACCAAAATGGAGACCCCTCTCGCCTTTTTGAGAGCAGTGGAGTGAAACTGTCTACTGTATGACTGGGGGTACAGGGATTTTTGCGGTTGTTTGTTAAAGTGTGTCTCTTGTAGGCACACTGTCGCTATGCCATTTGGACAGATCTTTGTACAGGAGAGTACGCTTGTGTTGGGTGTTTTACCCTTTAACATTGTACGTGACTATTTTCATAAATGTAGGCTTGGGTGTTGGATTTATCAAGGGCCTGGCATGACTTCACTAGCTTTATCCTGGGCACCCATGATATAGATTTGCAAGAGTTCTGGGGGGTGCAGAAGGGTAGGGGAATAAAACAGCATAACATTTTATAACTTACATACAATAAAACAACAAACTCATTGGCCCAAGAATTAACCCCTGGGTGTCTGGAGTTGCCTTCCTGACAACTACCAGGGGTCATGGTAATGGTAGCCTCTACCAGTGTGCGAACAATTTCCCCACTGGTGTCGGCTATACTCTTAAACTGCAATTATGTTTAAGTCTCAACTACTTCCCATCTTGGTGAATGTGTTCCCTTTCTACGGCGTCTATTCATCTTTGTATGTTGCTTTATTTTTTTTTTATTATATTTATATTTACTTAAAACCTTATGGTAAGTGACACGCAGGCTTTCTGGTTAAGGTGCCAGGGCTCCCTCTGGCGGGAAATGGTACCACAATAAGTATGCCCCCTCCAGGGCCCTGCATTTTCTAATTAGCTTCTCATACAACCCCCGGGGTGCCACTGCACCCAGCAATTTCAAACAACAAACAGTTTACATTTACATTACCCATATAAGAACATCATGCCCTCTCTGTTATAGGATGTACAAAGTCTTGGTACTTTCGGTGCAGTTCATGGTGCTTTTTGCAACTCTGGGTTTAGCCGCCTAGGGCCGGGCGCAGGTAGGTGCTTCGGGTCCTGGATAGGGATGTCCCAGTCTCTCAGTAGTTTGCGTCCCTCCTCCACCGTCCTGATCATGTGGAGTGTCCCATTTTTTAGCACTTGGATCTTGGTGGGGAATCCCCAATGGTAAGGCACGTTTTGAGACTGTAGAGAGGTCGTGATGAGCGTTGAAGTAGTGGGGCTGGAGAGAGGTCTGCGTAGATTTGCAGCGCTTTGTATTCTGCCAGGGGTCGGTTTTTGCGGCTGGCTTTCATAATTTGATCTTTGACGTGAAAATAATGGATCCTCATTAACACGTCACGTGGTGATGAAATCGGTTTGTGTTTCGGCATCCTATGTATGCGGTCTATGACCAGAAGGTCTGGGTCCACTTCCAGTATAAGCTTGGCAAAGAAAGTTGTTATGTATTGGAGCCGCCTATATCTTCCGAAATGCCCCTTATTCGCACATTATTCCTCCTGGAACGATCTTCCAGATCAGTTAGCTTATCTTCATGGGCTTGTAGTTTGTGCTCCAACTCCTGCATGGCATCCGCCATGCTATTATGGACCTCTGCATGTTCCGCCATTTTGTTTTCTATATGCGATGTGCGCTCGCCCAACTCCGTCACATCTTTGTTTAGGTTGGCTATTACCTCTTTAAATTGGTGCATCAGGGAGGTATTCAATGTTTCCAGCAGAGATTTCATTCTGGACTCAGTTATTGGCCCCTCACTCCCCGCCTGAGCTTCGTTCTCTGTGTCCGACGTCTGCGCCTCTGCTCCTTCCTTTCCGGCGGTTTCTTTTGCTTGGACGGTTTTTGTGCGAAATATGCCGCCTTGTCCAGTTTTGGTTTGTTTTTTGCCGCCATCGGGTGGAGCAACTTATCAGTGCTTGATGGGAGTTGTTTGGTGGTCTATTTCTACAGTTTAGTCACTGTTATTTGCCGCTTTTCGCCAATCGGGTAGGAGCACAACGATTATGCGACCATTCCCGCTGGCTGTCGGCCACGCCCCAGGGTTATATAATTTAACATTGTTATTATCTGACATTGACATATAGGGTAATTTTGACTGTAAATACTTAGTTTTTAATTGATTCGCTAACATTCTTCCTGCTCTATTCCCTTGCATATAATAAGATATTTTTCATTTCCTTAGTTGCCATTCTATTTTCGATGCTGAGAGTGCCTGTATTTTCCTCTTAATTTTAATTATTTTTTTAGCTATATGTTTTGTGGGGTTCATTTTATTGCTTGATTCTGCTCCACAGAGATCAGCTATGAGTCGTTCTCTGTTCACATCTGTCTTTTTCTTAAATATTGCTTTTAATGCTAGCCATTGTATATCTATATGCGATGTATCATTTACATGGTCAATGTAAAATACTTGTATTGCTTTACGTATTGTCTCCACCAGACCTAAATCGCTCATAAGAGATTCATTAAGACGCCATGTACTTCTTCCTCTAGCTGGGTCTACCAGACACATGTCTATACGAGAATATGAGCTGATGACAAGTATGTATAATCCTCAGCTGCTGGATATAAACAGCGCCAAGTATCATACAGATCATGTGAATGTAAGAGTGTTGAAAATTTGTGGCTAAGAACAAGCTCCAAGTTTTAATATGCCCCACTCACACTATGAAAGAAATTCGACACATAGTCTGGTCTGTTTCTATTGTAACAATCCAGGTCATATAAAGAGAAACTGCAGGAATTATTTTTATGATTTACAATCAAGGGATCCTGGCAAATCAAATGGATTTATTCAAAATAATCCTAATATAGAAAACACCAGAGATTCGACATATACTCTTCTGATAAGGCAAGTGAGAGAAATTGTAGCGTCTTCAAACACAGGAGACAGACAGGGTGTGATTTCCAACATGTCTAATCAGGCTGACCAAATTTTAAATTCACAATGACAATCTAAATGAATCAGGCCACATCTACTTGAATTTTTGGCTCCATTAAATTTAGATGGATGTGCATGGTAGACCATACATTAAATGTTCTTTAAAAGGTTATGACACAGAATTTCTCATTGATACAGGTGCTCAGTTAAGTATAACTAGTTTACAACTACCTTTATTACCAAGTGTACCTATATGTATAATGGTAGGATTTGACAGAAGTGGAGGATCTATGGCAACATTAGTAAATAATGTTCCTTTAGAAATACCTCAGTGTTTAAAAACAAAAATTGATATCTCGTACTGCAAAAATGTTGATAATATCTTGGCACATATGTTATACAAAGAAGAGGTTGGATTGTTGATTTGGGAAACAAAGCTATTTGGAAAGATGTGAAGGGTAGGAAACCAGTGCTATTGGATCCTCCTGAATATAGGGAGTTAGGAATTGTTTGTCCAGTAGATGTAGTGTCTACAGAAATGCAATGGCCTAATACTAGGGATAACCTTGAACTTAAAGAGATTGTACAGAGTTATCCAGATTTATGGGCACAAAGTACAAATGTAGTATAGATCACCCCCAGATTCAATTAATTCTATTGCAAGTGTCATTAATGATTTGGAACAATGATTAGAAAAGCAAATAGTCCATGCAATCATAATCTGTGGCCAGTGTTGAAAAAAGAATCAAATTCCTGGAGATTAAAAATTGATTTATGAACATTAAATAAATACACACCACCTTCTGCACATGTGGTAGCAGAAACCCCAGATATGATGTCACGATTGATTTCAATGTGTAAGGTAAACTCAGTACTCAGTATTAAGTACTGATATGCTTTTGCAGACTGAAACTGAGGAAGAACACCTGATTCTGTTAAATTAATTATTTTTCCTTTTGCAGGATTCTGGTTTAAAACTGAACACACGCAAAGTAACATTGATGCAACCGGAAATACAATACTTGGGTGTATACATTGGTCCAGGACACAAGAAGTCAGTGCAGGAAAGAATCAAAACTATTTCTTCTCTTCCTGTACCGACTTCAAACAAGGCCTTACGCCAGTTCCTAGGATTAATGCATTTTTCCAGAGAATTCATTGAAGGGTTCGCTGAAATAAGCCAAACCTTTATATGATCTCTTAAAAAATAGTGAATCTTCATTTGGACCATGGACAGATGAACATCAGAATGCATTTGAGGTACAAAAGAGATTTACAGGTTGCATCTGCTTTAGCGACAATACATCTAACTGCATCTTTTGCAATTCAAGTACATACTTCAGAGACGGCTGTCTCCACAGTACTATTACAATTGCAGCAAGAGATATGGAGAAAAGTGGGATATTTTTCTAAAATTCTTTCCCCAGTGGAAAGAGGACTAGAAATTTGTGCCAGACATTTGGTAAGAGTACACTGTGCGGTAATAACAACTGAACACATAGTGGGATTCAAGGACATAATTCTGCAAACACCACACACACCTTTGAAATTACTTCTTGAAAAAGGAATTCCAGGTGTGTCACATCAGAGATTTTCACAATGGTTAATCACCAAAGCAAATTAAAGGACCACTCTAGGCACCCAGACCACTTCAGCTTAATGAAGTGGTCTGGGTGCCAGGTCCAGCTAGGGTTAACCCATTTTTTTATAAACATAGCAGTTTCAGAGAAACTGCTATGTTTATGAATGGGTTAAGCCTTCCCCCTAATCCTCTAGTGGCTGTCTCATTGACAGCCACTAGAGGCGCTTGCGTGCTTCTCACTGTGATTTTCACAGTGAGAGCACGCCAGCGTCCATAGGAAAGCATTGTAAATGCTTTCCTATGCGACGGGCTGAATGCGCGCGCAGCTCTTGCCGCGCGTGCGCATTCAGCCCAGGAGGAGGAACGGAGGAGGAGAGAAGGAGGAGAGCTCCCCGCCCAGCGCTGGAAAAAGGTAAGTTTTTACCCCTTTCCCCCTTCCAGAGCCAGGCGGGAGGGGGTCCCTGAGGGTGGGGGCACCCTCAGGGCACTATAGTGCCAGGAAAACGAGTATGTTTTCCTGGCACTATAGTGGTCCTTTAAGGTAGAACATAAGGCAAAGTATGTACTTCCACAACTAATGCAATATGACGGTAAACCCCATGAATGTTTAGCAGAAGTTGAAGAAAATTTTCTCTCTCTTTTCAGAAAGGAAGCAAGTGAATCTGATGAACCTGTGTTTGTTGATGGGTCCAGATTCTGTTCAGATGGGAAGTACTATACAGGTTATGCTATATGGTATCCAAAATGAGGATATTCAGTAGAACATAAATTGCCAGGTCATTTGTCAGCACAGAGAACAGGACTAGAATCATTAAAAACAGTACTAGAGGAAAAAGAAGGGCGTCCCCTAATGATATATAGTGATAGTTCATATGTGGTTAGATCACTAACAGAACATTTAGCTATATGGAAAAGAAGAGGGTTCGTAGACGCCTCAAATAAAGTGTTAGCACACAAAGAGACACTAGAGACCATATTTGGAATTGCGTCTCAAGAACCATGTTTACTTGCTATAGTTAAAGTTCCTGCCCATCAAAAAGGTAAAGATTTACTTAGTGAAGAAAATGAAATAGCTGATAAATTTGCAAAAAGAGCAGCTCTAATTGGTGAAAATGCAGTGCAGACAGAGCCTATGTCAGTAGCAGTGGCTAGAAACACTAACACACAGCCTCCATCTTTTGCAGAAGAACATGCAAAGGATTTGTCCCTTGCGGCTTCTCGGGTTGATCCAAAACCTCCATTTGTTCATGAGAACGGGGTTTTGTGTCATGACCAAAAAGGAGAATTGTGTCCCGTCATTCCAGAGCATCTAAAAGTGTTATTTACACAATATAATCATGAAAGTTTAGGTCATGTTGGACACTAGAAACTGTTAGAGGTACTCAGAAATAAGTTTTATTGGGATATGATGGAAAAGACTGTACAACAGGTAGTACAATCATGTTTGATATGTGCACAAATAAATCCCAGACCTAAAAGACAAAAACCACCTATACAACATATAGCACCTGCAAATGGTCCTTGGTCTACTTTACAAATTGATTTTATTGGGCCATTACCAACAGGTAAGAATGGATTAAAATATGCGTTAGTAGTTGTGGATGTATTCTCTAAATGGTTAGAAGTAATTCCATTGACTAAAGATGATTCACAAAAAAACAGCTGAAGCATTATGGACACACATTTTCTCAAGATGGGGATTTCCTAGACTTCTAGAGTCAGACAGAGGTACCCATTTCACAGGGAAAATCGTGCAAGCACTGTGTGCTATTCTAGGCATAGAGCAGAGATTTCAACTGGACCTTGGGAGGCAAACTGGGAAGGTCCTTATAACATAACAGATACAATGGGACAAACAATGGTACAAGTGCAAAGATCTCTTGATGGTTCACGTAATAAACGGAGGCAAAATAGTTTTTGGGTTCATGCAGATCAGTGCAAATTGTATAAACCTACAACATAATTTGATAATATATTGATACTGCTTTGTTTTTCTTGGTTTATTTTAGATAATTTGTAAGCAGACCTACAGACAAAAGTTGCCCGGTGACAGAAGATGTGTTTGCAAAGACAACCGTGTAGCATCCTGTTCGTCAGCATCCTGCTAACATTGATGACTACATTCTTGTAATAGTTATTTTTAAGTTGAACTAAGTAAGTAAAGTAAATGGAAAGAAAAGATAAAGTGTTGAAATGAGGAGTGGGTGGGAGGGTCATTCTGATGCTGACCTCAAGCGATATGAGTCAGGTAAAGGGTGTCCCTTATATAGGGGAGTGAATTAATTTAAGCCCCTCCCACAAATACAGGCCAAACGGCCTTAAAACTTGTGTTCATGGCAAATAGCCGTATATGGAGTAAGGTTCCAGCATAAGCGTAGGATAGTATAAAGGGAGCAAGTCGGTTGTGGTGTGCCGAGACCGACGATACGG